GGTGAAATTGAGGGGAAAATGGGCGAAGCGGTCATTATGTTCTATAATTAAAGCTTGAGGGGTTGCAAGGAACTTTAGTTAAAATTAACAAAGTTAGTTTTTTAGGAGAAACAAAATACCATATACTTTAAATTCAGTAGCATTGTTTATCTCTCTCCATTCCTTTTAGAATTTTTCTATTTATTCTACTCCCTTTACCAATTGTTAAACTCAAAAGAAGGAGTCGACTTGGACGAAGGTTACTGTCTCTCTAATTTCCGGTTTTTATCATGTTTCCCTGCTCGTTTTGCTTTGTCTCCTGTTTGTCTGTAATTTGTAGCTTTTTTAATTAAAATGTGCAACCAGAAACTCCCTTATTCCGCAGTAAAACCCAGCACAGGACTCTCCAGGACCAAACTTAGGTATTAAGTTTTTGTTTAGCATATTAACAAAGTTTCGTGCTTAATTTAATTTGCATCCGTCTGTCGCTTCGCTTTGAGGAATCTCTTGAACTTTAAAGTTACTGGACAAGAATTTGTATTTCGCAAAAAAAAACTTGTGGAAAAAGTTTTCCTTTTGAGTGTTAACCAAGGTTTTTTTTTTGCACTTGAAGGCTGTTTCGTCTCTCCAACTGAACCCATTTTCTTTTGCTGCCATAATTTATGACCCACAGTCGGTCGAGTATCGCAAAAGGCAAACAATTGCTTTGGGGAAATGCCTCCTGTCGGTTGCATAATTGATGTGGGCCTGCTCGTACGAGTGTGCAATTCTTTTTGCTACCCAGTAATCGTGGATTGAAAGGGTGAAATGAGTGAATAAAAAAAAAACTTAGGACTGATAGGTAATAAAATAAATAAGTATTTGTAGAATAATGTGTGTTATAAAAGAAGAATAAGGAAATCCTCAAAGTACGTAAGAATATCATCCAACCATCAAAACCCAATTAAATATTTATGTATAAGCTGTGAATCCATTTGAAGTATACTCGTACATTTATTATAATTAGTATTATATCTTAGAACATAAACCTTATCCCTATGAAACTTTTTGATACTGAGTGCTTGCCATTGGGTGGTAAATCCTGCATTATATCCTTGACACAGTCCGCGCTTCTGCCTTGTTTCGAGTGTTGCCTGCTTTTAGGCGCCTTTTCGCCTTGTTTGCTGCCATTTGCAAGGCCATCGCGGAATAGAAACATACTATATAGTAGGAGCGGGCTGGGAGGAGCTCGGCCGAAGGTTGCGTGCCAACTCATCTCTCGCCCCCCAAACCATTCGCATTCCGGCCCACATGTTCGACACTTTTATTAATGCGCTTGTAGCGCCCGTAAAGCTGTCAGAATTCCATTCACAGGATGTTATCCTGTGTGCGAGGAAGGAAGGAGAATCGCAGGCGGACTGTTCGTTCTCATTGTTCGCTATTTTCCCGGCCCGATAAGTCGGAATACTTTGTCGCTAACGCTTGTTGCTTTGCCGACAGTTTTAATAAATGAAAAGCCTTGCGAACGGATTGCAGGACTCAAAGGGAAATAGAGCTTTGCATATTTAATGGCAGTAAAAGCTATCTAAAGTGGCTATCAGCGAAATAAGCTTAAGTTCGTTACTTGATCTCAGCTACAGAACAGAATTTAATCAGCGGTAAGGGATTTAATCTGACTTCTTTTCACCGGTTTTTATTTAAATAAACTTTCATTGACATCAGCTTTTCCATTAGCATTTCTGCGTAGAAGTCATTACCACTTTTTCTTCTTTTCTCAGAGTCCTAGCCATCATCATTAGTCACTTTCCCCTGCACACACACAAATACTCATAGACGCCTTCGTGAATTAGGGTCACTAATTCTTGTCAAGGACCTGAATTCCACGCCTAATTATCTACATAAAATGCCATACCACTCAGCGAATTTAAGCGTCGCCTGTCAATTAAAAGCAGCAATTACGCCAATGTGTTTCCACCTCTGAAAAACAAACCCTCTTTACTAACAGTGGTGCCGGTGGCCTTCTCATTTAAATTGAACACGTGCTTTTGGTCAGCGAATAAATTAGCGCGACTAAATTAAAAATTACACGAACACCAGCGCCGAATTTAAATAGACCGACAGGACAGACTATGGTAAAGCGCAGAGAGAACCGCTTGTTTATGGCTTTTCACTTTGTTTCTGGCCGCCCTGGTCGGTTTCACTCCACTCCCATGCAAAGCACATTTTGTGCACGAAATTAGGAAACTCCAGCGAAATGAAATGGCCGAAAAATGGTGGAAGCAAGCTCGGTGCAGACATGCATGGAATTTCATTTTTGCACTCACGCCCGAGGGAGGCATTTATTTTTTGGCAATATATATGGCCTGAGTGGCCATATGTGTGGGGCTCAAAAACTACAACATTTTGCACTGACATCGATACAGCGAGGCACAAGGACGAGGCGAAATGAAAGGATGCACCAGGATTTGCGGGCCAAGAGCAATGAACGATGACGTTTTCATTTTAAACATTAGTGGCTGACGGGCAAACATGAATGCTATGACAGGAAAAGGCATCGTGCTTTTTGTTTCATCAAAGCGAACATGAACCAACAATATTCCCTGATCGATTTTCTTTATGTGAAAACACAGGAATTGGAAAATATTACGCACTTCATCAGCTAAAAAAAACTGTCAAAGGAAAATCTTTCATAAACAAATTTGTTTTCCTTTTTGTTGAACCCCCATACTTTTTATTTGTTAGATATTCGTTTCCACTCCTGCATGTCCTTTAATCCTATTGATTGCCCGAACTCAGTTTTAAATAAATTAAAAACATTTTCATTATATATAAGCACACAGTGAGTGCAAAAAAACTTCGGCTGTCCAAAATGAGTTTTCTGCACCGAATTTTCCGTTTCTTCAATTTCACATAATGGCTATAAATCCGCTTTCCGTTTGCTCCTTTCGAATTCCCTGCTTTTGACGTCTGTTCTGGAATTGGTGACCGTTTTCTGTGTGTGTTCAGTTTTATTTTTTCCTTCGACTACCCGCAAAAAATTTATGCGCACTTTTTTGCAGATCCTTGACTGGGGAATAAAAAAGAAAAGGAAAGAAAAAGAATCCTGTGGCTCTGCGTCATTTGTTTCGCATTTGCCATGGCACCACGCATTCAATTGAAAGTGGAATTTAAGCCGAAAAGAGTGAAGCACTCCTACTGGCTTACAGTTGGCATCGAATGCGAATTATTTACTTTAACGAACATATCGTACCCCAATTTAAATAAAACCATTAATGAAACTCAATAAATAAATATGGAAAAGGTGTAAAAAGCCTAAGTCAATATTGTTCTGTGGCTGTCGAACAATTGATTTCAATTAATTTATTTGTGGAAGCGCTTGCATTAAGTGAAATTGAGTTTGCCTCCTTCTTGTGGGTCTATCGATTTCACCCACTTGCCGTTCAGAAGGCATCGTGGGTCATTTGACCAGCCACACACACTGATACGGCAATCGTTATTGATTTTCCCTTTCAGCTACCTTTTCCCCCGGCTTTTCCCTTGCAGCTTATGCATATTGAGTGCGCGACAATTTATGAGCTTTATGTGTCACTTCTGATGCCACTTTCACTGGCCATACCAACCCATCCCGCCCACATTTAACCCCCACATGCGCCACAAATTCGCAGAGACAGTCACGCATTCTACGGAGGGTCCGCAAACTCAACCCTCGCAACCGAAAATGGACGTCTCACTTTCAGGGAAAATGTTGTTTTTTCCCCCCCAGTTCGAGGCATATCTAAACTGTAATTGCTTGCGAGGGTGTAGTTGGTTTTTATGACCCAACCAGCTGTTTTTTTCCTTTCCCCTTCTGTTTCATTCACTTTATGCCGCCCTAAATCATAGTATACAATTCAGGATTTCAGCACTTTAGTTGACTAAAGAAGGGCTGTGAAATAAAACACTAATTAGTTTAATAGTTTTTCGCTTTGTTGTGCTATCAAATCCATCTTAATTGGTAGCTGGTTTAAGTTGATATCGTTTATTTTGATGCCAATAGCAAAAACAACATTAAATCAAGAAACAACTTGCATTCTTTTTTAGTGTTCTTAACAATGCAGAAGCTATTTGGCCAACAAGCTGCTTTTCTCATAAATAAACAACATTATTTATTGAGGCACGGACACGGCCAATTAGCTTTGAAATATGCGAGCCAAGGAGAGATGATGTTGCCCCAAAGCGGCAGAGCAGCTTAAACCTGCAATTTTCTGGCTGATTCTTGAGTGCGATGGGGGGAAATATCTTTTGTCATTTTAATTGAAAATTGTAGCCGTTCGTTGAGACGGTCCTCGTCCTTCTCGTCCTGACACCTCTTTCGTTAGCCACTTGCCAATTGTATCTGTGGATTGTCTGTCAGCCATCTAGCTCTCAAATCTTTTGTTCGCCCTTGCCTTTGTGTGATTTCCCGACTTTTCATCGTTTGAATTGCGTTTGTTTGCCTGCTGATTTGGCCATTGTTTGACAATTTCACTCTTGAATGGAATTCTGATGTGCACATTATATAAATATTATCTACATAGTATATAGATAAAAGCCATTTCAACGCTGGTTGACTTGCATAAATTATTCTTCAAATTTATGGCGAAAAATAAATTCAACAAGGGGCCAATGTGGCGTATACGCAATGTGTTTGCCGTCAACAACTTTGATTTAAGTTGCTGCTGGGTAATTAGCGCCTTATAATTAACGGTTGCTATTTTTATTTATCAAGGAATAAAAAACCATTTGTCTTGAACATGTTTATTTAAATATATGCTCAATTAAGGTTGTTATTTAAAAGTTAATGTTCCTGTCATATTAAAACAAGTTATAAATGCAGTAATGGTACAATTAAAAGAGTCTGCTAATTGGATATACGGAAGCTCAATTATTAATGCAATATTCGAAAGCTCCTTGTTCATAAGTGGATACAAATAGTTTCCTTTTATAAACTGAATAATTTATTATCTATTGATTACCAAAAAATTAATTTGCTTTTACTAAAATCTTTTATTTTATTCTTTTAGTATTCGCAATAGTCGCGGCTCCTTGGACAGCATTGGAACCGCCGCGAACGGCAGCTCAGCGGCGAGTCAGGCGAGCTCCAGCGGCGGCTCCACCACCACCCACGCTCACGCCCACAACAACAACAACAATAATAACAACAACAATAACGGAGGAGTCGGTAAAATGGATGGAAGTCCCCATCACAGGCCAGGATCACGAAATGGACGGGACAACTGGAGCAAGATGCCGGAACCGCTCAACGGGCAGAAGGGGGAAAAGTCGGAGAAGTCATCGCCATCGAGACGAAGTTTGGGCGGCGGCGGCGGTGGGAGTGGGAGCTCCTCCAAACAGGGATCCCCCTCCTCCTCGTCGCGAACCAAAGGAGTGCCGCCCAGCTTTGGCTATGTGAAGCGGGCCAATGGAAGCATTGCCTCCACTGCCGAGCAGCAGAACATTGCCATGATGATGGCCGCCGGTGGAGCGGCAGTTAATGGTCTCCCATGTGGACGTACCGCTCACGTTTCGGCGGTTCCGAGGACCGCCAGCGGTCGCAAGGTCGCCGGCGGTACTCAAACTCTGCCCAATGATATGAATAGTGAGTACAAAAGTATATGTGTGTCCTCTGAGTTATTTATATATATTGCTTACTTTACAGAGCTACCCCCAAATACCCAACATCGTAGCTTTTCGTTGACCGGACCAACGGCCACCCAACTGAGCCAATCCATTAGAGAGCGTCTGGCCACAGGATCACATAGTTTGCCAAAACCCGGCAGCGATTTGCATGTTTTTCAGCACAGGTAACGAAGTTTATCAATTTAAACTAAACAAAAATGATAGCTAAAAAATGTTTAACATTCTACAGCAACAAAAATTGCATTTCTGTTTAACATATTTTTCTGAGTAAAACAATCTAAAAAGCTCTTTGTAAAAATTATGGTTTACTTCAAATTTACTAAATAACTTTTAATGGGATTTTACGCAAAGAGGTCATAACAAATGGGATTTAATTTTAAAATAATATTTTGTACCTATTACCTATATTCTTATAATATTTAACTTTTAAATTTTAGGATATCTAACCGCGTAGGAGCTCGTCACGATGGTTCTCTTTCGGATACGCAAACCTACGCGGAGGTCAAGCCGGAATATAGCTCATACGCCATGTGGCTGAAGCACAGCAATACGGCTGGAAGTCGCTTGTCCGACGGAGAGTCCGGGGAGCAGCTGCAGATCGGCTCACCGGCGATGACCCGACATGGTCACAAGATGATCCACAATCGATCAGGACCTCCGGGTCAAATGGCGGGTCAAATGTCGGGAAATGAGTCGCCCTACGTGCAAAGTCCTCGAATGAATCGAAGCAACAGCATAAGGTTGGTACTCATTCAACTACCACGTTTTTTATCTTTTCCCCTCCTGCATGAATCTCTATATCTATTTTTTCTCTCTTCCTGTGTGATTTTGGTTAACCTTGAAAAGCTACTTGAAAGAACGGACATATCCAAGGTGACCAAAAACTTTCAGCACAATATTTTTGCATCTAAGCCATAAAAACTTTGACAGCAATCATCCTCTGTTTCACTAATTTTCTGCCACCAACTTGCATTTTGCATGCTTATCAACCAAAATCGCATTTGTTTGTATATGAGTTTTTGTCTCCTTCAAAATGTATTCTTTATGGAATTGCATATTTTTAAAGTGATGCTTAAGTTGGGAAGTTTGTGATCGAATGATAAGATACTTTGTTTTTAACCCATGCATTTTTGAAGAAAACTTTACATAAATAACTATAATATATTTTAATAGAATTAGATCTTCATCTTATTTTTACTTAACTAAAATTTATAGGGTACTTTACTAGTCCCTTCGCTATTCTCATTTCCCACTCGATTACCATACACGTCCCCGTACTTTTTGCCTGTCAGCTGTATTTTACTCGTTTGCTCTTCTTTAAGTATGCAAACAACTTTCGGTATTCTGTTTTCCCTGGGAAAAAGCCAAGCGAAGTCACCTCCAGCCTGTCGCCAGGACATATGCTTCCATTTTCATGTGTCGTCGTGCATGTTTTAAAGATTCACTTAAAACCAACAACCTGGGCAAGGGCGACACGCCCAGGAATTTAAAGAGGAAACTTTCGTGATGTTCTGATGCTGTTTTGGGCAGGTTGTCGCCCACGGACAATGTGAAAGCTCTTTGGCCAAACGAGTTGGGAGGAACGTCAGAAAATATAAAAACCCAAATGGCAAATGGAAAACGTAGGAAAACAAAGAGCAGCCTGCTAGCTCGGAGGTGTTGTGGATGGCCAGATTATTATTTGACATGTCAATAGGTTTCGTGAACTCTTGGCAGGGGTGCAGTTGGAATGGAGTTCGCTTTTTTGTTTGCCACGTCAGGGAGTTTTCAACTGCAGTCTGTTCTCGGCGGTCAAGTGCTTCATTAAAAAGTGTTCCACAGAGGAACACGAAAAAATAGTTAACCAAGTGGGAAAATGGGGAAAAAGAGGAGCTACCAAAATTAGATAAGTTTAACTAAGAGAAAATTAAATGGTTTTAAAGTAAAATATCAAGAAAATCTGTTTTAAATTTAATTTAAATTAACATAACGACTAAGCATAATTCACTAGTCAGATAATTGGAAGACAAATAGGGACTATTGCTTTAAATTGCCCAAATATTTACTCAGTGCGCCTTCTACTCTGGTTTCCACATTCTGCTTTCTCCGGTTAAATGTGCCAGGCTTTTCCTTTCGATGCCTCGACATCGACATCAATTATGCAACGGGAAGTGTGGAAAGGATTGAGCCAAGGGATGTGGAAAGCCCCGAAACCAGTTCGGTGGCTTGTTATCAAATTTTCCAGTGCCATACCCACAGCCGAAGTTTGTGGCAAATAGCCCCCGGAGAAGGGCGACGTCGCTCGCCACCGAAGGCAAACAACAGAGCCACTCACTCCGACAGGCGCACACATGACTTATACGTAATATTAGATTTGCATGCAAAATGCCATTAATGTCACAGTTATCAGAGCAGCGCCAGTGGACAGGCCAGGACGAAGGACCCACATCCTGACATTCTGTGTCCTGTATCCTGAGTCCGATTTCTATTTGTGGGGAGCGGTCATTGTGAGGGCTTCTGGAAATCTCTGCATTTTATGACAATTTGTCCAGGGACTTAAAACCAACGCAACGACGGCTTCACCCAGGACTTTTATCATTCCAAAACAGATAGAGTGGGATGGTTTTCCCCATTCAATTTGTAACTGAATTAAAAGGAAATGTGGGCGTTTTTGACGAGCACAGAAGTGTTCAATTTTCATAATGAAAGTGGCCTCATAAGCTGGACAAACGCAACGGAAATTTGCAACTGTCTGACCACATTTACTCATCACAAAAGTGAGGCAAATTGAGTTACATCGATTACGAATTTAGATTGGGAGTTAAAGGGAAATATGAGTTCTTCAAAGGCTTAAAGGTATAAAATAGATTGCATTTCAAAAGAAATTCGTTTTTGTTTTATTGGCTGTGATTGCTTTGTTTGAGTATGACATATTTTCTTTAATAATCGCATCTCTTCCCATTTCAATGGCTCGTAATTGCAAACACATCTGCTTTTGAATCATTTACGCACTCATTCAATGTCAGGCGGGAATCTGCCGGATTAGAAGCACCACACGAGACTAATGAGATTCCATTTCAGATCCACGAAATCCGAGAAAATGTATCCCTCGATGCTGAGTCGCGGAGGCGAGGTGGAAATCGAGCCGTACTATTGCTTGCCCGTCGGCACAAACGGCGTTCTCACCGCCCAAATGGCAGCTGCCATGGCGGCTCAATCGCAGGCGGCGCAGGGCAATCCGGGGGTGGGCGTCAATGTGGGGGGCGTGGCATGGAGCCAGCCCACCTCCCCGACGCCCCTCACCCGGGGACCCTTCAATTCAGCAGCAGCAGCAGGTGCCGCCTCGGTTCTATCGCCCACCCATGGAGCCACTTCAGTCGCAGGACTCGCGGGCCCTGGCGGAGGAACAGGCGGCGCGATGGTCGGACATCGGCTCACATATCCCAAGAAAAATGACGAAGGTGAGGAATTGCACAGCACACTAGAAAAAAATTTAACTGAGAAGTTTGAAATAGGAGAATATAATGATATAATTAAATGATAACTTTAAACTTTAACTTAAACTCAAGAAATTAAAGATACATATTATTTGATTTTATCGAATCCAATTTTTTTTTTTAAATATATAACTTCTTTTCATATGTTCAACTAAAGAAAAAACATTGAATATAAAATTAATGATAAATCAATATTATCAATATGCAAATAATATTTCAAAATACCTTTTTAATATCTTGCAATCAATAGCTAATTTGGAACCAACTTTTGAGGTTCGCATAGCATTAAAGACATAAAAGCCATAGGAAACCAATTTCGCCTCTATTTTTTGTACGCTCTTTTTAAGTGCAGGCTTAAAAGCGGATTAATGCAACTTCTCCCGATTCTTCCTTCCCCGTTTCCGTTTCCGCTTTCGTTTCAGTTCACGGCAGTGCCGCCTCCTTGTTGTCCGGGGGCAGCTCCTTGTACGGAAACGCGGAGGAAAGGCAGGCGCACGAGATCCGGAGGCTGAAGCGCGAACTGCAGGATGCACGGGATCAGGTGCTCAGTCTGAGCAGCCAGCTGTCAACCAATGTGAGTATGCCGTCATGGAAGTGCTTAGTTAAGGCGAAAATGAATTGGGAGTGCATTCGAATCCTTCTGCATGGCTGCGCTTTCTGCCTGAAAGTTTACCGCCGTCACTTTTGGGGGAAAATCACGCTTTTGGGTGAAGGAGTTCCAGCGACAGAATCAAAAACTTTTGGCATCATGTTTTATTCCTTCAAACATTTTTAACTTCAATCATGTTTAATTTATTGTAATAGTTCGAGGGATTTTGCTGCCACAAATACTTAAAAATTAATACCAATTTAAAGTAACCTTTTCTAACAGCCAAATTAGAAAGCTCGAGTAATTCCTTTCTGATTTCCATAACAATCCTAGAAGCATGCTGAGGAATATGTTAAAAAGAAACTGCAATGAAAGCCCAGCGGGGCATTTAATTTCACCTGAATAATTTACGGAGAAAAGGGAAATATTTGCCCTCCTAATCTGGCCCACCATCTTTTATAGTTCAACCTCATCGTCTGCATTGTGCCCGGCCATTAATTTAAGTGGTTATTCCCTGTACTTTGGGCCACAATTTATTTGCCTCGCGCAGCTGTTGCAGCATTTTGCGCATTTTCATGGCCTACCTTCAGGCTTCCAGGGGCGATGCCACAAAAAATGTGGCAACTATGCTCCGCCGCTTTCCTCACGGAATTGTGTGCCAAATGCCTTGCCGCTGCCGCTTTGTGAGATTCATTCGCTTCGCTTATCAGGCAGTCGGCTTGCATTCAACTTTTTCCGCCAAGTTGCCTTCCCCCATCATATTCCCATTCGAGATGCGAGGTGCACTGGGGGAAATGTAGCTCAAATCTGAAATTAAATAGGAACTTTATTCACAAATTCAAACGACTTGAAAAGCTTTTGAAATATTCTCTACACAACTTTACTATTCAATTGCACTTAAGTTCCCGTGTAAATCAATCCTAAGTTATTATGTGCTTCATAGTATTTTTTATTTATTAAAATATTGCTACAGTTTTTCCGAAGTGTAGGGACTTTAAGACTTAGACTGCGACTGTCTATAAAACGCTGTGTGTATATGTTGTCAACAGAAGTCACGCAAAAGTCTGATAAACTTCCGCGGCAGACAAAAGTACTTGACGAGATGGGGACCAACTTTGCCTACTTTCGGGTGACTCGTTTTTTATATACCATATATACACCACCTACCATATGGGTCTGAAATTGATTTCATTTACAAATTTTCTTGCCAACAATTTTCATTACAAAATAAAACAAAGTTTAAATTGCATTCCGTTGGACGGGGACCTTTAGGAGTCATTGTACACTTTATGCTCGTCTCGTCTACATTGTCGAAGGCTATAAAGTATTTTATGGAGTTTCGAGGGTAACCCCCAACCACCCAACCACTGAGCCACCGAACCACCCACACCTTTCACACCATCTCCACCGAATTTATCGGGGCCAGACAGGCAGACAACATAAATCTTTTATTTTCCACACTTTCCGTGGCCATTTGAAGTGACGAGGTGTGGGAAAGTCTGGGGCCAAGGTCGAGGCGTACGTGTAAATTGCCAGAAATCGGCTGATGGATTCGATGGCGATTTGATGGACAACAACTCAAGGCTGATTGCAACTTTTACCAATTTCCCCACCGTTCGCAGTGGCATTTCTTCAAGTGGTTCGAATAACTTTCCGCTGCCCAGCTGCCATAAAAGTGCAGACAATGTGGAGACCCAGAATAATTGCAATGGAGCTATGCTATGCGACTGGAATCTCTCCCAGCTGATATGGTGTGATATGCGGTCTGGATCTGGTTAACTGGATTAGGAGGTTGGGCGGGGAGAGATTGTGGGCCGGAAAATGGGTCGCCGAGAGCATGATTTATCTGCGAGTGGGTTGCCATAATGCGAAAACTTGAACTAGAATAAGTGTCGCCTGGTCAGAGATTTCCCTCGTTGCAATCACACCTAAGATGCGAAAATGACAAATTGTGATTATTTATTTGCTCCTCAAGCAAAACTATAAATTATTATATCTGTATGTACCATTTCTATGATTCTTAAGTAAATTATAGTTTAATCTTTATCGTTTATATAAATTGCTTTATTTAGTTTGAGTCCCTCTGTATTATTTCTCTTGTTTGTTTTTTAACTCCCCTTTTGCTCAATTCACTTAGTTTAACAAATACTCAACTGCTTTTGCATTAAAAAAAAACTTTTTAAATGCTTACAATTCCAAGTTGTTCTGGGATTTTTAACTACAGTTTGGCCACTTCCTTGGCATTTCATCCCCTTTTTTTTCCTTGTGGATTAAAAACTTTTTAATTGCCCATTGACTTTGATGTCGTTTCTTTTGGCTTTCCCCGCCATTGTCTTGGCCAAAGTTTCCTGCGTTAATTAAATTTCTGCCAGGGGTTATAATGGCATAAATGCCGATATGTCGCTCCCGCACTTCCTCAGTCGGTCTGTCTATCGATCTATTATATATATTCCCCGACGATTTCACGTTCCTCGCCAGTCTGTCAGCAGTTTTGCCGCATATTATTTGCCATTGGCTCACTATTTTTATTTTTTTATTTTTATTACGAGTATTTTTTATTGACAGACGCCCGTTGTGGAGGCTGAACGTCATGAAATTTCACTTTGCGGTAGTTGGGAAAACTGAAGCTTCCACACATTGGCAGTTGGTTCGGTTTTTCGCATTTGTTCGAGGAAATTGAGATGTGGAAAGGGAACTGAAAGTCTGACAATGCAGTTTGCGAACTTTTCGCAATGCTCTCGAGATGTGAGCTCAAGTGTGGGTAGTTCCAGGAGGATTGCGAATATTTTCGCATTGTGCTCTTTAATTTTGGAACATTTTTCTCGTATTTCAAAGGGCTCTGAATTCAGTGGCTCATTTTTAGGGAAAAATATTGCAATGTTTAGTTTTGCAATTTTCATTTTAAAAGGAGCCCTAAAAAAATGGTAGATAAATAGCTGATTAAATTCAAGGCCATGATTTTGTTTATTTGGTTTTTTTCTTTCCAATTGGCTTACACTATTTGTTCACTACTTTAATTTGAGCAAAGCCCCCAAGCGAACATCCTTTTTTATGAGTCACCTTTTCGGCTCCCCGTCTTTCTTATCTGGCTAAGCTTTATGGTAGTTCATAATACGCTTTATTCAGACGCTCGCATAAAACCCAAGCAGCTTATAAAACTTCCAACCTACATCAACTTTAAACAGCTTTCGGCTGAGTCGAACTCCATTCAGTTCAGCTCGTGCCCCCTGCCGCCCTTTTGGGTGTAGAAAAACCCCAATTGAGCAATCTTATCATTGACCATAAATACTAAACCACAACAAAAACAGCAGACTAGACAACTAGAAAACTAGAAAACTGAAGGGGAAACGCCACGCAACGCTCCCATTTATCACGCACTCGGAATTGACCTAAGTGACCGGGGGCAAAAAGGGGGGACAGCGGACTCCATGCGTGCCAATGGAATAGCATTAAAGGCGTGATAGAGACCCCCAGCCATCGAGCCCCCTCGAACTATTCTCCCTCTCCGCCCGAGAGATAAGACAAAGAAGCATAACTATAAAACATTAGGGTGATCGCCTCAAGCGCCAAAAAAACTCGCGCCAAATCGCAAAGCAAAGCCAGATGACTCTATCTTTCTGAATTACTTTGAGATACGGATAGTTGGGGGTATAGACAGAATGTAGAACACTTCTAGAAAAAGATTTTCTTAAATTTGTTCAACTGCTACTTAATTGCTTTCTGCCTGAAATAGGAAGCACTTGAAAGTTTAGGAGGGTAAAATTAATAATAAACATTTTAAAATGCTTTATCAGTTCAGTAAATTATATAGTATTAATATCGTTTTTTTTTAAGGTCGTTATATATTAAGTTCTTTTATTAGTTCAGCCAAAAATCATATATATTTTTCTTCTTCGACTCGTTTACCCTTTAAGTGACCCTAAGCTGCAGGCTGAGCAATCATCTAAATTGCTTAATGGGGGCAGCAAACATATTGTTGATTGTCTCAAGTAAAAAATAAGACAGCGTCTTCAGGTTCATGCTCACAAGTAATTTAGTTCCTTATAGCTTTACCTTTAAGTGACCACTTTAACTAATAAAACTAATGCATTGCTCTTTTTCTTTCAGGTAAGTTAACAATTCCATTTAATGACTATGATTTCTAAAAACAAAGATTGGGTATGTACATATATAGTTTTTGCAATTTAAATAGGTTTTGATATGCTGTAAGTGCGGGATGTTTAAAAACCATTTGTTTTTATTTGTATGAGTTCTGTTTTTGAACTGCCCTATATATTTCCCATTTATTTGAATTATTTTTCCAAAGCATCCATCATTTATGTTTATGTGTATATACACTCGTATATATGCAGCCGTCGCCAATGGAGCGTGAAATCAATTCCAGTCCGCTATTTACTATTAAACCAATTCAGCTTTATGCCAATGGCTTAGATGAAAACGGCTTAACTAATGCCAAGTCGGTAATTTATGCTGGCCTCAGCCAAAAGTCGGCGACAAATGTAGGGGAGTTGCGAAGCCAATAACCCGGCTTCATCGCGATTGGAGATAATCAATCATTTTTTAGCTGTCGCCCAGCTAGACTCGTTAAGCAAGCCACCCAGAAAAGTTTTTACAACTTTATTATGCCCCAGTCCTTGTGACTTGGCCTCCATCGAGAAGTAGAAATGTGGAAAAGTGTGTGCAGACAGCTCTTTTCTGTGGCGCCTCGAAGTCTCGCGCCAAAAATAAACGACTCCGGCGGCTCTGTGTGTCCCCACCGGGTTGTCCTTCACTTTGGCCTTACGACCGGCCACAAAACACAAATTTGCAATTTTTTGCACTTTGTTGTTCCTCGTCCTGGCCGCCAAGGAAGCTGTCTCTGTAATTTTTTTCTTTTTTTTTGCGCTCTGCATAGTTTTTGCGCACATCTAAATAAGGAGCAGTCGATGGGGCAGAGCGTTGCGACTGGGGCCACAAAAACATACGTATCCGCCGGCAGTGCGCCA